GAAGAGCATTTTTACAAATAACCACGTTAAGGCCCTCATTTCAGAGCATACATCCTGATAATAATCACAGCTAATGTTTTAAAAATCTGGGCACAACCCTTACTTGTAAAAATCATATAAAATCAACCAAAATTTTAAATTGCATGATTTCAACTCTCTCTGAAATATTATGATATATACTACATTTTCTATGATGATCATATTATCATATATCCACATTAGGATCATCAAAATTAGCCGAACATCTTAATTACCAAAACTGCCAGGTTTTATAAAAACTGCATGCGTGATTAAATTCAAAAATTCATAATAAATTCAAATCAACTCCAAACTTCGAAATTCCAAATCTCAAAGAAAGCCAACAAAACGAATATCATTTCATAAGAGAACTCAACTTCAGATTATGAACGTTTGAGGGTCATTTTAGCATAACAACAGGGCAGTACTTTTCGAGCTCATTCATGTTATAAACAAAGCGAACAAACGATGAAATGACAACTCGAAAATGATATCGATACTCCTAAACAAATCTAAATAATCACAGCAACATAATGATACATATTTTTACAAAAACGAAAGCTCCAGTCATCCCCGTTAAGACACGATAGCATGAACGATTAAACAAACGAATATATCGACAAAACTAAACAAATCCGACTTTTAACTAAGATTCGATAGCACGCACAACATCTATTCAATATCACGATATTCGAGCATGAACGAAATTACGAAAAAGTTTGAAAACGTTACCCGTCTTCGGGTAACAAATCGGAAAAAGGCCGGGGCTAGCGCATGCGTGGGAAGGTTCGACTACGGTTCGTGGGCGTCTCTTCTTGCTTGCGGCTTGCTTCTTGTCGGATAGAGCTCGCCGGAAATTATGGAGGCTCAAGAGGTGATGACGGAAGGTAGCAGTGATGGGAACTCGGTGGCTTACACACACGTCCTTGTTGTTCGATAGAGAACTCAAAAATAATAGAAGAGCTTGATTGAAATTTTGATAAAAAGGATGATAATTTGTTTTGATATTTTTGTTGCTAAAGCCGTGGAGACGAAGATAAAAGGAAATGTAATATCGTGTGATAGAGGCTAGGTGAAGATATATACAACCACCTGCTTCCCAAAAGAAATAGTAACGTAGGAAGAATATTGACCATTAAAGGAGAATGATGAGGGCCATATTGTGCGTGGGAGTTTCTGGAATTAAGGCTAATTAAATGCTAATGTAATTGCCAAACTTAATGACTCTACACAACGTTTAAAAAAAATTCAAACTATCCAAAGTCCAAAAATCACAAGTATTGGACAAGTGTCCATGTACCCTTGAACTAGCTCTTCAAGAGCTTTTGGCGAAAACTTAAATTACAATGGTAGGAAATGATGGAAAGAAATGGGCCACAACCAAAGTCCCAGAGGTAAAAGAAAAAGCTCGAAATTAATTTAAGCGATTAAACCGAAAACTCGAACTGCTCTCGAAAAACTAAATTGAATCAACTTACCCCAATACACACACGCAAAATATATATATATATATACATATATATATATATAGGTATAATACACACAATTATTATTTATTTAATATTAAGGTATTTGGACATTTAATAACATTTAGGCATTAGCACAAATAAAAATAAAAATAATAATAATAATAATAATAATAACAATAATCAATTAGACAATTAAACATTAGATATAAATAATAATAACAATAATACAAAATAATTATACCCAAATAATCCATAATTAAACGGGGTATTACAGTCTATCCACCTTACAAAGAATTCCGTCCTCGGAATTCGATAATAAAATTAGAAAGCAATAAAACGCAAAGAGGAACTCAGAACTCAAAGTTCGGATATCGCCTCCGAAGCTCGGCCTCTTTTTCCCAAGTCGCCTCCGACTCGTCATGTCGGCTCTAAAGTACCTTCACTAAGCTCACTGCCCGGTTCCTCAACTGATGGACCTTCTGGTCCAATATGGCTACCGGTACCTCCTCGTAGGTAAGGTCTCGCTCGACCTGCAGTTCGCCGAAGTCCACCACGTGAGTGGGATCATGTACGTATCTCCGCAACATAGAGACGTGAAACACGTCATGCACTCCCGACAAGCTAGGTGGTAAAGCCAGCCGATAAGCCAAATTCCCGACTCGGGCAAGGATCTCGAATGGCCCAATATAACGCGGTCTAAGTTTCCCCTTCTTCCCGAAGGGAATCACGCCCTTCATAGGCGAAACCTTCAGAAAGACATGATCTCCGACGACATACTCGTGCTCATCCCTCTTCCGATCGGCATAGACTTTCTGCCTCTCTTGGGCTGACCGGATATGCTTCCGGATAGCCTCAACTGTCTCCGCAGCTCTAAGAATGAACTCCGAACCCATGATCTTCCTCTCCCCGACCTCATCCCAGTACAAGGGTGTTCGGACCTTACGTCCATACAAAGCCTCGAATGGAACCATCTTGATCGTGGAGTGGTAGCTATTGTTGTAAGTCAGCTCGACCAAAGGCAAGGCACTCTCCCAGGTTAGACTACGGTCTAAGACCACAGCCCTCAATATGTCCTCCAAGTACTGGATCGTCCGCTCCGACTGACC